TACTTGCTGCTATTCCTGTCCCTTTCTGTTTGCTCACCCCCACATCCCTCTGTCCTATCCTAATGTATCCTTTTATTCCACAATCAGACACATGAAATACACAGAAGTCCTTCATACCACTGAATGTGTAATTGGTAGTTCCTGGTTATAGTCAGCCTTTGACTGTTCAGGAGAAATGATTTGTTTTTTTTTGACGACAGTTATTCTGGAATGGTGAAAGGCATTCACTGTGAGACTCATGTCTGCGAAAGAATAAAAAGTGGAGCTAGTGGTGGGAACTGAATTTCGGAAGCGTGTTTGGACCAAATACAAGTTTTCTAGAGTTTGGAACCTCGGTTGAAAGCAGTAAAAAGGAAGTTATTTGATTTGCTTAAATGCAATTTGCTACTTGTCCAAGATTTGCATGGCTTAATTGTGAGGTTCTTCGTTATACAATGGCAGCCCTTTTGTTGTAAGGCAAAAGGACTTTGCCTCTGGAGATTGAGACAGCAACAGCCACTGCCATGTGTTATAGGGCATAGAGTTGTGTTTCATTGCGTTGAGATTCTTGCGCTGGCTTTTCTCCACTTTTCCAGGAAGAATTCATACCTGGAACATGAACTTATTTGCTTTCTGCGCAGCAATATGTGTCACGAAGAGGTGCACAGAAACTCTCTGACAGCTCATAGCGTCTGAAGTGAAGCGTTAACCCTTGGCCAACTTAGTCCAAAAGTGCATATGTACTGTTGGATGGACAGTCCTGCCCTTTTTCAGCTTTTTTCAACTCTGTGGGCTTTCTCCGTGAAGGTAAACCTGACACTGGCTTGATGAAAAATCTCGAGTCAAGCTCCTTTTTAGTTCCTTAGGGACAGAGTACATCAACTAAACCAGAGCAAAGGAATTTTGGCAGCACCATTTGCAATTTAACAAGACACACCAGGCAGTGTCACAGTTGGAAAAATAAGGGTCTCCTGTTTAACATGTAGATGAGAATTTTTTTTCTTGCAGAGAGTCTTGTACCTTTGGAACTCTTTCTTCCCCTGAGAATGATGGATGTGGGCACATTGAATATTTCTAAGGCAATAGTGGTTTAATTATTGACGACTCAGAGTCCAAGGTTATAAGGAGGTGGAAATGGGAAGTTAAGGCTCTGATCGATCAGCTACTATCTTAAGAAATGGCAGAGCAGACTAGAGGGGCTGAGTGAGCCACTGTTCCTCCTGGTCCATACATCATCATAATTACACTTTATCATATCACGAAACGCTGCTACGAAAACAATTTTTGTCAAACAGTCAGACAAAGGTATGGTGTAATCCCCTGACAAATTAACAGCTTTCTTTTGGAGTCGCCTCTCTGAGTCTATCATGGTGCTGATTTGGCATATTATGGAACAGAAGGTAGACAAACTAAGCTCTCTTGCTATGAAACTTGACCCACAAAGGCAATTGAAATTTCACACTCTATAAATCACTGCACATGAAAGCGAAGGAAATGTAGGTTTAATATTTGCAGCTGCATTAGAATGTTTTAAAAAAAAGGCAAGACCTGAATGAGCGGATTCACGATAGGATCAGAACTGAGCAATTCACATATCAACGAAGCTTATTCATAGCATTCGGTACACAATGGGAAGTGAATTCCCAATATCAGCTATGCAATGCAACAGCCAAGCCAAGGGTTAGGAACTTGGTGACAAAAGAAGGTGGATAGAAACCAGGGGTCATCCGCGTCTCAACTCTGAGCAGCAGAAACGTTGGATAAAGTCGTATGGCCAGCCACTGAAAGGTAAATACAAACTAACTCAAAGGATGATGTTATGGTCTGTGTAGTTTTTGATGCTGACATGTGAGAATATTTTGGTGATGAGCAATTGAAATTGCTCACAATATAGCTCACACATGCATTACATTGTTTTACTAGACTAGTAAAACTCTGATGCTGAGAATGTTGGGCCAATTACAAATCTGACAGCGCACCAACAGCAGAAATCAGACACCCAGTCTGATTTAATTTAAGGAATACACTTAAGCGCTTACTTGCCAGTTGTAGTATTCAAAAGCATCAATCAGGCATGAGCAATTCTGGGCACCACAGTTTAGAAAGGACATGTTGGCTTTGGAGGGCATGGATTTACCAGAATGATAAGACTTCAAGGGTAAAATTGAGGAGATTGGACAAACTGGGGTTGTATTCCCTGAAATCTAGAAGAATTTAAGGGGTGGTTGAACAAACAGTTCCAAGATATTAAGGGCAACACAAGTAAAAGCTACATTTCAGGAGTGAAATTCAGAAACCAGTTCCAGTACAGAGAGTGAGAGAAGTTTGAACTTGCTTAGCAAATGGTAATTGATGCCAAGTTCATGATACGTTTTAAAGCTGTGATTGGCACACCTTTGTTTTGCAAGGCTATGAAGGGATAGAGGGCATGTGGCATTTAGTGACAGAACCGCTGTGACCTCAATAAACAGTAGAACACTCTGAAGTCGCTGAATGGCTTCCTCCTGTCCCTGCATTGTATTGCTGTGTACCTGACTGTGGGATGGTCTTGGTCATTCTTGTTCTACTTCACTTTTCTCTTCATAAAGACTGAGAATATGACCGTAGAGCATTCCCCTTAGAATAGTTATCACTAGCTCAATTGTTGTTGACTGTGGAGAAACATTCGATTTCCACTCATATGCTAGTATATA